TTCACTCTTACTATTTCTTGGAGAATTTGAGATTGAATGCTTTTCAACTCTGGATTATCATCTTTAAACTCCTTTAATTGCCTTTTCTGTTCGTATTTACTAGGTTGCTTCTGCTTCTTTTTATCACACTTTTTTCTTTCTCCGATAAAATGATTGTAAACTTTTTGACAACCGCGAGAATTAGCCTCTAATATTTTCCTTGTTGCTTGGTTAGGATAAATTGTTCCTTGAATGGTTTTTCTCATTTTGTCCTTGATTTTGAATGTATTTTTTAATTACTTCTACTGAGACTCCCCCAGTGGTTAATAAGCAAAAACTTCAACTCCAAAAATACTCTTTTCATAATTTTTCTCTAATGACTGGATACTCCTTTTTAATTAGCCGCGAGGAAGCAGTTTTATAAGCATTGATGAACTTGCTTAATTCGCTATTAGGATGAGCCTTGAATAGACAATGAACATGGTCTCCATCGTGATTTCACTCTTGGAGGGTTATATGGTAATTAGGAGCAATGTTCTCAAATATTTCCTTTAATCGGTCTGACCTAGCATCGTTAATTACTTTCCTCCGATATTTAACTACTAATACCAAATGATATCATAAGAGGAAAACCGAGTGATTATTACTGTCTAACTCCATATATTATATTTTAAGACCAAATGGAGATTATACGCAATTCATCCCCTACCTAATTCTCCGCTGTAAGAATTTGAGGATAGGGGACTTCTTGCTGGTTTAGGCTAAATGTTTTTAGATTGCTGTTACCAATCGGTATATCTTCCGCATTATAATCCAGTTTATTTTTAACAAAAGATACTACTTCATAATCAGTTGGATTAAACCCTAAATTAATCCATTTTTTGGCTTGCTCAAAATCAAAACCTTCTTTTTTTCAATTCTGAACTAACTCTTCCGTGAAATTAAGGTGAATTTCTTGTCAGTTTACCATATTATTTATTGTTATTTTTATTTACTAAGGAAAATTATTATTCCTTAATTATATTTTAATGGCCAATATCCATTCTTGCTATCGCCTTTTTTTTGTAAAAAGCACTAAACACACCAACAATAATATTTGTAATTTGCTAACTTTCGAGGGGGTTTATTACTCACCTACCAAAAATTAATTTCAATCGTTAGACCGAACCTCTTTCTTTTTCTCCTTTTTTTGACCAGTTAATCACCAAACTATCAAACCGCCAACTACGAAAGCACCGCCAACCAATGGCCAAATAATTCATGGATTTTGGTATCATTTAGGCTTAATTTGGGTATTTAGATACACGTTTTCAAACTCTTTTCATAAATCTTGTTCAGTTAAGTTCCCTATTTGGTTCACATTGGAATTTAATCCCTGAGTAAAGAAATTATCCTTTAAAATATTTTCTAAACTTGTATCTTCTTGGTTTGGCTGAGGGTTAGAATTATTTTCAGTTAGCCTTTGAATTATACTTTCTTCTCTTTCCGTAGAGAGATTATTTCTTTCTCCTTCTCCGGCTAATTTATTGAGATGTTGAGTATAATTTCTAATTAGGTTTTTTGCTTCTTGTTCCGTTCCAGTTATTTGGAACACGGTTGATAAATTTGCCCCTTCAAATGCTGGTGGATTTTGAATGGCTGACTTCGCTATCTTGGCTATTATATTGATAAAGTCTTTATATAGTTTTTCATCACCAAGAGCATTCATTAGGTTAATTGAGGAGTTAATTATTTGGCGAATTTCTGGAGAATTTTTAATTCGAGGCGGAGCATATTTATCTATTAATTTATTTGCCAAAATTTTTAACTTACTTTTTAATATGGCTATTTCCTCCTCGGTTAAACTTTCGAAAATTTGTATCAATTTACTCGCTTTTTGTTTTACCTCTTGCTTATTTATATTCCCTCTATTTCAAAATTGTCGATAAAACATTCCTTTCACTTCCTTCACCACCTTTTTAACTTTTGCGGTTAAACTTTTATCTGCCTTTCAACTTATGTTTGATTTGGAAGGAACCCGAGCCACTACGCGGTCAATGGACTGAGAAATAACCGGTAAAAACTTAATAGTTTTGGTTTGTTGATCTAATCCTTCTTGTTTTTCAATAAGCATACTTTGGTAAAATACTTCTTCATTGAAAATAGCAAAAAATAGATTTGCAACCGAATGCGAGAAATCTCGGGTTACTTCTTTTCAGTCATTCGGCACTTTTATTTCTCCTTTGTCAATTTGTTCATCAATAACTTCTTGGGCTAGTTCTTTGCCAATAACTTTTAAATCTTTTCAGTCCTCTCGACTGTAATTTATCAAGTTTTTTCTTACTTGTTGGATTTCCGTCTGGTCAACCTTTCCTCTGATGCTTCTGATTATGAAATTTTTAATGTATTCTTTTTTAGTGTTCATATATATATATATATATAGACTTATAGTTATTTTGCAATTTTATTAATTTAATTCATCTTTTTTCTCCACTTCTTAATCTTCATTATATTATATTTTAACAATTTTAATATTGCTAATGCTAGACTTTCCAAAATAAAATAAACTGAAATTAAAAAAAGATAATAACTGAAAAAAAATCTATTCATTTTTCTCAGTTTCTCCTTTTCTTATAATCCAAATATAGGAAATCAAAATCAGAGGCTATTATCAGGAGCCAAAAAAATATTAATTATTTGTAATTAAAAATTTTATCCTATTAACTAAATTTTTAACTGTTTTTGCTAACAAAGATAAAACCGACTCCTCATATTTTCAGAGAGGTCATGGATTGGCACAAGACTAAAATTGAAAGTTGTCAACTTTTGAACTCCTCAGCCCCGCACCAATCCTTATCAAAAACTATCTATTTTGACCTATTATTTATCAGCAAAAATTAGTTCTGCTTAGGCGGAACCTCAATTTGAGTTTCTTGTTCTAGTTGTTCTTCTGACTCTTTTTCTAAATTAATAAGTTCAGTTTGAATTTGAGAAAGTTTTTCTAAATCCTCTTCTTCAATTTTCTCAGTTTCTAATAATCTATTTTTTGCCTTTTCTACTTGTCCTTTAGCATATTTATTGTCAGTTTTAATAACTTCCTCACTGGCCTCCAGAAAATTTTTTAAATCTTCAAAATCGTTCTTTTCTAACTTTTCTTCATAATCACTCAACAATTCCTCCAACTCTCTTTTCTTAATTATTATTGGCGTTGATGTTGGCGCTATTGATGGTTTTGTTTTTCAATTTTCTAATGAAGTAAGGTTATGATTTTTAATTCCACTAAGGTTTCCAATAATTTTCCCTACTCTGTCTGAATAAAAAGGGTTCTTAGCAACATCAATTTCAATCGGAAGAAGTTGTGAAGTGTCAAAACTATACAATTTATCAAACAGAACTATCATTTCTTTTTTGGTATCATGATCAGTAGTATTGTACTGCATCAGTGGTTTTTGCTTTCTTTCAGCTTCTAGCGAAGCAGCACTATAAACAACAATTTTAATAGTACTCTCAACTTGCTTAAAGTAATTATCATCATTTAATTTGTCAAGAGTTAAGTGTTTTGTTAAGAGAGAGTGATAACGATTACCAAAAAATAGGCGAAGATCTCGTTCCAAGTTTGCACCCCCCAACTCATTTTGAAAATTTTCTATCATGTTTTCTATTCGTTCCCCAATTTTGTCTTTTTTATAGTCTAAAAACTGTTGCCTTAAATCATCAAAGTCTTGTTGAGAAGGTCCCTTTCCTAAATTTACTAATTGACCTTTAACCTGCTGAGGAGTTTGGCTGGGAAAATTACTAGTTCACTCATTTTTTTCTTGGATTTGTTGTTGTCAGTCAGTAGGAAGTCCAGAAGGTTTTAAATCCTCAGGTTTGTGTTTTTCTTGACTTTGACTAAGAGCATTTATTCGGTCACTCACTTGGGAGGGGAGTTCTCCTTGAAAAGCATTAGTTCATTTCACTAAATCACTTTTAGCATCTAATAATTTTTGATACTCAATTAAGGAAGTATCCGGACGATTGTCCCTTTCATTTTTTATGTCATCTAATTCCTTTTGAGTTGGTCTTTTAGAAAAATCATTAGTCCAATCATTACTACTAACATTAGGCCTTTTTTCTAAATCAGTAATTCGATTATCTTTTTGGACAATTTCACTGGTTAAATTAGTTACTTGTAAATTTAAAAGATGATTTTCTGCATTTTTGGCAGATAGTTCATTCTTAGTACTATTTAATTCAGTTTGGCTATCACTGTACTTTTGGGTAAGAGTGGCCATTTGTGGTTGGAGTAAGGCGAGTAAATTTACTTGCTTTTTGATTTCTTCGGGTGCTTCTTTAAAAGTGCTGGTTCATTTAATTAAATCATCTTTGATTTGCTGGTAGTCAGCAGGTAAATTAGGTTGTGGTTGAACTACTGGTTGAGAAGTGGATGGTTGCCCAGTATTTTGCTGTCAATTGCTTATTTTACCATCTAATTCCTTAATGTCATGAATACCATACTTGTTTAAAACTTGTTCAACTTTACCCAATTCGGCAGTCAAAATTTTTATTTGGTCTTGCGGATTAGCAATTTCGACTTCGCCCGCTACCTCACCACTTCAAGCTTCTAATCCATGAGGCAATGCCCAAAGAAGTACTGGACCTCCGCCATAACCAGCTAAACAGGCAACGTTTTTTAATGTAATATTACTAATAGCAATAGTTACTGGTGTTGTTGCTTTCATAAACCAAAAAGATCTTGTTTTGTTAGTCATCGTAGAAGCTACCGTTATCCTAACCTGACCAATGTAACCATTAATCATGTCACGAATTGCACTTAGTTTTTTAATGTATTCTCCCTCTTCAAAATCAATTTTATCATAAAAGTTTAAAGAACCGATACCTATACTATCGATTTCTTTACCAATAACATTTCCCACTACTGTTTTTTCTTCGCGAGTTGCTGGGTTGAAAACTTGATAAGTAACTTGTATAAATCCTCCTTGTGCCACTGAATACTGAACTTCAAGTTTTTATCATCTGAATTAAAATGTTTTGTTTCTTTATCAGTGTCTTGGTGGTTCCGAATGCTTCCGCAATTTTATTTAAATCATCGTAATATCTGTTATTACTACTTTGAAACCGTGGTTTTTGGTAGTTATCTATTAATTTAAGTGCATATGTTTTTTTAGTCATATTATTAATATTATATTTATATTATTTCTGTGATTTTTTGCTAATTTTTAACAGATTAGCAACTGCTTTTAAAAGTTTATATCAAATTAGTAAGCATGTGAACTTACTTTGTTGTCGTTATTTGTTTTTTAGTTTTCTAAATCTTTATATTCGCGACTACTGTCGCTGGACTGGATGTTCTCAGATATAAAGAATTAACTTCTTTTGAATATTTGTCATGATACTTCATATATTCTTTTGCTCTTTAATATAATTTTATAATAATTTTTGTAAGCATGTGAACTTATTTTAAATATAGGGCTTGCTGTATCTGATAGAAATACATATATTTTTGATCATTTTTATTTTTTAGGTTTTGGAATAATCTTATTGTTATTTTTGTATCATTTTTCTTTATTTTGACTTTTTTCTTGACTGTTTTTTTTGCGCCATTCTTCAATTTTCTTATGATTACCGGATAATAATACCGAAGGGACTTTTAAATCTTCAAATAACTCGGGGCGGGTATAAGTGGCAAAGTCTAACTGAGAATTAGTAAAAGTTTCCTGCTGATAAGACTGAGGGTCAATTGCTTCCGGAATGGCTCGAATTAGAGAGTCGGTAATTGCCAAAGCCGGTATCTCTCCTCCCATGGTAATAAAGTCACCAATCGATATTTGCTCATCGATATAATGTCAAATCCGTTCATCAAATCCTTCGTAATGTCCGCAAATGAAAACTAAATTAGGGGCTTGGTTAAGCAACCTTGGCACATCGGTTTGGATAAACTTTTTGCCTTGAGGAGAAAGCAAAATTAAATAACTGTTCGGAAAATTTTCTTGAATATGAGCCAAAGCGGCTACTAATGGCTCAATTTTTAAGACCATACCAACTCCTCCTCCATAGGGATAGTCATCAACCTGCCCTTTATCAGCAAAGTCCCGTAAGTTGTAAACTTGGTAAGTAAATAGTTTTCGCTCTCAAATCTTTTTAGCGAGGGAAATCTGAAAGTAATTGTAAAAGTATGGTGGGAAAAGAGTAAGATAAATAAAGTTAGGTTTCATGACTAATTTGTTTTAGTCTAAATCATTTTTTAAAAAAGTGTCTCGATAAAGGGAAAAAAAGAGATAACCGAATAGGACAGAAAAAGGAATTTGCAGCAAACAAAAAATAAGTGGATATGTGGAAATAAATCCTCTAAAAAAATAACCCAGCATGAATATGAATATCATAAAAACCGACAAAAGGAAGTAGACTAAAAAGGAGCCTCTTTCTGCTTGATAAAAAAGGAAAGGAACCACTAAAAAAAAGTTAACCAAAGCAAACCCCACCCCATTAAGTAGTAAAAAAGAAAGAGCAGCCATTATTCCAAAATTAGTGAAAAGCAAAAAGTAGATAAAAATAACCGAGGTAAGAAACAGGTTAAGTGCCATAAAGTAGGTAAAGACAGCGGCAAATTTAGTTCAGATAACAGTTTCACGGTTCACCTTGGGAGTGAAAATGAATACTTTAATATCTTCTTCACGACTAATTTTAGGCATTTGAAAAAATTGCTTTTTTTTTAATTCCTCCCAACCTAAACCTCGCCCAACTAGATAAGAAATTAAAGGAGCCATCATCATCCATAAAGCGAATAGTTGAAAAAACGAGATAATTCAAAAAATAACCAACTTTCCTTGCCAACTGTCATTGTTAAGAAATTTTTGGTCGAGGAATTTTTTTAATGAAAAGCCTTGAATAAATATTATAAAGATGAAAAGCAACAAACACAAAAGCACTAATCAAATTTTTGATAATAACTTAGCACAATAATAACGATAGAGTTTTGCAAATACAGTTTTTTGATTTCTTTTTAAATTAAACATAAATTAAATAATTTGTAATATACTAATCTAAATCTTCTTCTTGGTATCTCAAATAATAAAGAGTGAGGAAGAAAATTCCACAAACTAAGGAGATGATGGTAAATCAAAGTGGGTCAAAGAAAGTTCTTTCTAAGGTGTAGGGTCAACTGCCGGAACTAATGGTTTTTATTCCGAACCACATCATCGGAAAGAAAGAAATTAAGGTGGAAAAGATTCATCTTTGACTGGTTAATGAACCAAAAAATAGGTAAGGAATCAAAATTAAACTAAAGTATAAAAGTGGTCCCACGATGATAGTAATTAAAGCTAACAAGGCAAACCAAGCAAAATTAACCTCTCCTAACCAGAAATAATAAATCCCAAACGGAATTAAGAATAAGACAAGATTAATGAGAAAATAAAAAGTTAAAAAGGCGAGAATTTTCCCTCAAATTATATCACTTCTTTTCATGCCCGGAGTCATAGTTAAAACCATGGATTCCTCCCCTTCTCGACGGGATGGAAAAAAGGTTTTATCGAAAACTTCGAAAATAAATCAATATAAGACAATAACTCCGCTGAGATTTCACCATGAGATATCGAAAAGCATTTTTCAAAAACCCTTTCCTTCGGTATATTTACACTCGGTTTGTTGAAAAAAGAAATTATTGTCAGAACTATAAGGAGTAGGCAGCAGTAGAAAGGTTCCATTGTCAAAAAAATATTTCATTTGAAATGCGAATTTTTCCCCAAAAGGAAGATTTTTTTCTTTCTCATCTCCTTCCTCTAATTTCTTTTCATGCTCTTCCAACTCTTCACGATTTTTTATTCTAAACTGATCCATTCCTTCTTCCCCAAATCATGCTTTACTAAATGATTTAAAAGTAAGGTCTTTATCAATTTTAGCACTTAGTTCACTAGAGGCTTGGCTTTTAAGGAAACCCTTGAGTGTTTTTTGAGCGGCTCAAGGAATAACAAATCACCAAACTACACCAATTAAGAGGGTGAAAAAGATAATTCTCAACCAATTTTTTTGCCAAATCTTCTTGAAATAGAATTTATATAACTTGCTAACTTGCGACATAGTAATTTAATTTTATAAGTCAAATAATTTTCGATCTTTTTCCACAAAGTAATCTTCATAAGTTTTTTCAATATCAGCCGTTTTCGCACCGGTGTAAACAATTCTTCCTTTTTTAATCATAGTAATATCATCGGCTAGTTTTTGTAAATCCGAAAGAATGTGGGTGGACATTAAAATAGTGCCCCCTTTGTCGCGAATATTTTTTAAATTGTTAAATAAGTCTTGGCGAAAACTAGGGTCTAAACCATTGAAAGGCTCATCCAATAAATATATTTTCGGTCGATAAAGACTTAAAGCGAAAACTTGCAGGATTTTTTTTCAACCGGTCGACAAAGAATGACAGTTTTGATAACGAAATTGCGAAAGAGGCGAACCAGACAATTTCCGAAGCACTTCTTGTTTAGGAATATCTCGTAAATAACCCACATCTAGTAAATAATTTTCTACTGAAAGACTAGGGAATTTAGGTTCGGCCGGAATAAAACCCAGTCGTTCATTAAAACGAGGGTCGTTTTTCACGGACTTAAAATCAATATATTCTTCGCCGCTATTTGGCAAAACTAAACGCACCGAGATGTTAAGGGTGGTTGATTTACCGGCTCCATTAGGACCGATAAAACCATGGATAGTTCCTTGCCGAACGGAAAAGGAGACATTATTTAAAACGGTCTTATTATCATATCTTTTACTGAGTTGTTTGAGTTCGACTAATTTTTCTGCCATGCTGATTTTGTTATTAAATTAATTTTATATATAGTGTTTGAGTGAATTAAGTTTGGTTTACAAAAATTACTACCTCCTTTCACCACTATTAACACTATTAAAAAGAAGTTAATGAGTCGATTGTTCTAACCATTAATTCTTCAACTAAAATGAACCAAAGTTAACCTAAATTATAAAAATAAAATTATATGAATAGAGTAAGTAATACGCCAGTAACGAGACGTCGTCGAAAAAAAGTTTTAAAACAAGCCAAAGGTTATTTTGGTTCTAAACATAAACTATTCAAAACTGCCAAGGAGCAGGTAATGCGTTCTTTAAGTTATGCTTATGCTGGTCGAAAACAACGAAAACGTGATTTTCGGAGTAAAATTTGAATTCCTCGTTTAAATATTTACTTACGAGACAAATATGGCATTCGGTATTCTCAATTTATCCGTTTATTAACTTTGGCACAAGTTAAAATAAATCGCAAACAATTATCGGAAATGGCAATTCATCAACCTCAACACTTTGATATCTTGGTTAATAAGGTTCAAAATCCGTGATAAATTATTGATTGTATTAATTAACTGAATTTTTTTTCTTATTTATCGGCATTAATGGTTTCAAACACCTCTTGTTCAATTTTTTGATAAAGTTCGGGGTTTTCTAACAGATATTCAGTAACATTTTCTTTTCCTTGACCTAGTTTTTTTTCTTTATAAGAATATCAACTACCGCTTTTTTGAATGATATTTAATTCAGTAGCCAAGTCAAAAATTTCTCGTTCTTTTTGGATACCACCTTCGAACATTAATTCAATATCAGTAGGTTTTTTTTTATCTTTGGAAGAAACTTGAGAAAGAATCGCCCTCCTTTTTAAAACCCAAGCACAAATTTTAATTCCGATATATTTTCCTCCCTTTTCGACTTCCTCCTTTTTATTTTTTAACTTTATTCGTAAACTGGCATAGTAAGGCAAAGATGCTCCTCCAGTGGTAGTTTCTGGATTACCAAAAGTGAAGCCAGTTGGTATTTTGTAGCGAATCTGATTAATAAAAATTATAATTGTTTCGCGGTTAGTCATTTCGTGGTTAATTTGTCTTAAACCGTTATTTAACATTTTAGCATGAGCACCAATAGGTGGTCTTTCCCAATTTCCTAATAATTCAAGCGGTATTAAGGGGGCTATCGAATCGATAACAATTAGACCTGCACCACCCCGAATAAAATCAGTTACTAATTTAAAAGCTTCCTCGCCATGACGAGGGCGAAGAACCAACAATCCATCAATATCTACCCCAATATTCTGAGCATGTTTAGCATTTAAAGCATTTTCAACATCCAGTCAAATTGCTCTTTTGCCTAGTTTTTGGCATTCTCGCACGGCATGCAGGGCTAAAGTAGTTTTCCCGCTGGAATTTTCTCCATAAATTTCAACAATTCTTCCCAGGGGATACCCACCTCCGGTTTCATGGTCTAAAATGATACTTCCAGTGGATAAAGTAGGCTGGTCTTTAAATTTACTTTCTCCCAAGGTAGTAATGATCCCTTCGCCGTATTCCTTAGTGATATTTTCGATAATTTTTTTTATTTCTGGGGAGGTTAAATTTTCTAGTTCGCTTTGACTTGCTTTTTTTTGCGCCATATTTAATATTTTTCTTTAATCCTTGATTCCTTGATAATTAATTTCGGCTTTTTTTAGTAGTTCATTAATAAAGACTATACCATTATTGCTCTGCATTAAATTTATTGCTAAAATTATAATAATAAAACATTAATATGACAGAAAAACAAGTAAAAATTATAGTTAAATACACCGGTGTTAAAGAATTAGAAACCTCGAATAGTGGTGAAAAAAGTAGTTATCACCTTTTCACTCCGGTTGAGTCGAACAATGATATTGAAGAAATTAAAATTAGATACGATAATCACGAAATTACTAATTTAGTGCTGAAACTACAAGGAAAATATGAGTTGAATTGAAGCGAGGATAGTAAATCTCCGAAACGAATTTTTGAAAAGGAGGACACGATTGTCTTGGTGGAGCAAGAAGATAATGGTAATAATGACAAAAAAGCAAAAGACTGTCCGACTTGCCTTGAAAGAATAAACTACGAACTGGCAAAGTGCGAAGAGTGGGAAACTTTGCGAAAAACTGGAATGGAAAATGCAAAAAAGGGAGAGTGCTTTCACGAAAAAAGTAATTTTCCGGCTGTCTTAGGTCATAAAGTAGAAGAACAAAAGAAAAAATGTTCGAAATGCCAAAAAGAATATGTATCCAGTAAGTCCAATGATGTAGGCGACGAAAAAACTTTTCCTCATAACTGCTCCCAAAAACCTAATCAGCAAGATGATGAAGAAAACGAGGATGACAACCCTAATAATAGCAAAATTGCCGAAAAGTCAACCGTGCGAAAATATTGTAAAGATAATGATATCAAAAACTTAGAATATGATGAAGAAACTGGTAAGTTAATAATTACCTACAAAAGTAAAAATAAACCTAAAAGCGAGTTAGATAATTTAAATGAAGAACTCCAAGAGATTAAAAATTACCTGAAAAAGGAAGGCAAGAAGAGTAGCAACAATAAAAGAAGACTCTTAACTGAAAGCGACTGAGAAGAAAAAAGCAACAAAACTCACCAAAACAAAACTGATTACACCCCCTATTTAATTGCGGGTGGAATAGGACTTTTTATTATTGTTCTAATTGCGGTGATTGGTTTAGTGAGAAAGAGGGATTAAAAGAAAGGTTAGAAAAATAAATAGTCAAGGAGTTAATAATGAGAGAAAAAAGCGAAGGTTTATTTTTCATCAAACGATAACCTAAAAGTATAAGGTCAGAAGAAAAAGAGAAAATTATTCAAGTAGAGGAAATTAATTTGCTGGTTCTTAATGCTTTATCGACAAAATTTATATTTTAGGTTCCAACATTTTCCCAAATTAGGTTGCTCTTTTTATTAAGGAAATTCTTGAACCGAGAGAGTTCCATCATTATTTCTTAACAACAAACAACTTTTTCTAGTGCCATCAAAGTAGATTCCATATTTGCTTCCAGTTCAAGCCATAGCCGGTTTTAATTGATGTTCTATTGCCGATTTCTTTTTCTCGGGATGATAGCCTTTTTTCACTTCAACCACTACTCAAATCTTCCCCTCTTTTTTGAGCACTAAATCTACTAAAATTTTGACTTTGCTTCTTCCTTGATGACCAAAAGATTTTTCCAAGGGGTATTCTAACTGAAAGGCCGAATGGGGATAACCTTTTTTTAAAAAGTAAATAATTAAGCGAATTCGTTGATATTCTTCACTGTAATTACCATCGGCATCATACTTTCTTTTTCGCAAAGCACCACGGAGGGGGCAAATTAAAAAACCTTCCCTAACCTTTTTTTCCTTAACCCCCTCTTTTTCTCAAACTATAAAAATAATCAACAGTAAAAATAATACTAATATTATTAAGCCACTAATTATGATTCACTTTTCTTGGAAGAGCATTTTTCAATCCATATCTAAATTTTTTATCTGTATAACAATAGGGAAAGGACAAAATTGGTATGCGTATATAAGAAATAATTATATTCATATAAAAGCACTTATGTATAACTAGTAAGGAAATTTGTTGAGATAGGGTTGCAGAGTAAAGAGAAAAAAACTATATGAATAAGTCAATAAAACAACAAACTAATTCAGTAATAGACAACAGCAAAAATTTTCAAGTAATTACTCATAGTCTTTATTTACTTGCTAATCCAAAAACAGGGAAGATAGAGCAAGTATGCCGAACACAGAAAGGAAAAACCAAATAGGCGAAAGGTTATTTGCTTACTTAATCACTACCTCTTCAAAGTCTCAATTTCTCAATTAGCAAAGATTTAGAATCGAACTATAAATAATTATTGGTAATTGGTAAAAGTAATAGAGTTAAGAATAAAAATGTATAAAATATAAATTGATGACAAAGTATTAAAAAAAGTTGAAAAATAATTAGTCTCCTAATCTTAATTGAATCCCCCAAAATAATAATAAAGAATATAAATATACTATATATGAAGTGCCATGAAAAACAATCTATTCATCAAATATCAAATCTTCCTGTGCCGTTAGGGCACAAAGAAGTAGAGAGAGTAAGCCGAAAGGCATAAAATATGAAACTTCTCCTTTCGCACTAGTAGCCTTGATAGACTAGTAGCGACTTTCCCAGAAGTAAAATGAGGGTAAAGAGTTTTCTAACTGGATTTCTTGCCAATTCCACTAGTTAGAATATTAAAGTAAAAGAATTGGCAAAATAACTAAATCAAGAATACAAATATTTAATTAAAAAAATGACAGGAAATAACAATATAAATCAATATGTAAATAAAAAACCGGTTGAACTAGTTCAAGAATTAGAAAAATATGAAATTAAAAAGTCTTCTTTATCTCTGGCTGCTCGGAGTAAAGTAAATAATAAAAGTGGCAGTAATTATTTAAGTGAGAGTAAGAGTGATTATGGACCTTGTAAAAATTCCCTTTGTGGTTGTAGTTGTTCTTCATATACATGTGATTGTTCTAGTGATACTATACGATTTGGAGGGACTGGTTCTAGTCTTGGAGTTTATGGTAGAAAATCAGTAAAAGAAACTGACCCAATGAATTGGGACGAGTTAGCGTTGAAAGCGGTGGGAGCAAAAGATGAAGAAGTGAGTGGGCAATTTAGTGCTTCGGCATTCGGTTATAAAGATAGAGACGGCGAACTTAAAATTTTAAGTGGCACAGCCGGCGGTGAAATTGGTAGGGGCGGCATCAAGGGCAAACTAAGTGCCGACTTGTATAATGTTAAACATGATGGGGTTCAAGTAAGAGTTGGAATTGCTGCCGATACGGGTATATCAGTTGAGGATGGTTTGGAAGTTAAAGCCGCTGGTTTTGGTTTTAGTGTTGGAAAGCAAACCGGAATAAGCACTCCGATTGGTGAAGTAAAAGTTGACACCGAGGACTGCATTATTCAATAAGTAAATAAGATAGTAAAAAATGACTGTCGTCGAGTGGAAAGTATTATTGATTTTTACCCTTATCCCTACTCTTTTTATTATAGTTTATCACTACTATTATGTTCATAAAGTATTAACTGCTAAATGTCAGTTTTGTGGTGAAAGCATAGAGGGTCAGTGAGGGAGAAAAATAGGTTTCATTTATACTCCATGAAGGAAAATAAAATTTATTTGTTTAGGTTGTCAAAAAAAAAAAAAGAATATTTAAAGCATATGAAATACGAAAATATTATAATTCCAAAAGAAAATAAAGCACAAATAGTAGAAATTAGATATTTAGAAAAGCAAGAAACTTCTCGGTCAAGTAAGTTTTTGAGGTCAGTTTTACCTACTACCTACTGCATGCCTGATGATGGTGTGGGAGTTGAAGTTAAGGCGGGTTCTAATAGCACAGGTGCGAAAGTTAAGGTTGGTGTGAATATGGCAAGTGTCAAAGCGGGAGCAGTCGAAACCAAGTTTAGACCAAATGTCGATACAGGAGCATCAGCAGGAACTGATGGCTTAGAAGTTAAAGCCGCAGGATTTGGAGTTAGTGTTGGTAGGAAAACCGGAATAAGTACCCCACTTGGAGAACTTTCGGTTGACTCTGATGATTGTGTGGTGCAATAGATGTAAAATAAAATCATTGGGTTAGATGGTTTGACCAAGTAACAGCCGTATTCCAGGTGGGCTTCAAGGGAGATGACAAAGAGGGGATGGCGGAGGTTCCCCCTCTCCCTCCCCTTGATGACAAAAACTAATTTGAATAATAATCTTAATAGTCTTTGTTTTTGTAATCTGACTATTAGTAGAAAGAAACAAAAAAAGAAAGGTTAAAAAGAAAACAAAGAAAAAAGTTATCTAGTCTGAAAATACTAGGTGCTAATGCCGTTTGAGGCTTAATAACGGCAAAAAAACATAAAAAGATAACAAAAGTAAAAATAATATGCCAAGCAAACAATGTCAAGAATGTAAAGAAATAAAAAACCTGAGTGAACTAAGCGCTAAACTTGAAATTTGTCAGAGTTGTCGAACTTGTGAAAATTGTAATGGAGTAATAAACGATGGAATCTTATATTATACGCTAGATGAAAGTTATAAAGAAAAATTAACCCGTTGTCATTTTTGTTTAAGCAAAGGAGATAGATACCGACAACTTCGTCATTATGACCTCGACAGATTATTGAGAGAAGCCCGACAAGTTCAAAAAAATTCCTAAATAAAAGTAATAAAGTAAAATTAAAATAAATAAAAGCATATGAACAGAAATAACAATATATTTAATAAAAAAGACGTAGAAAATAAACTAAAAGATTTTAAAGAAGGGCAAGATTATTCGGTTTCTCCGACTGATGATGGAAAACAAATTTATAATTTTTCCTCTGATGAATTAAAAAATTTTTGGGGTGATGACCGAATTGTAGTTAATCGAGTGGTGGAAACCGACAGTAATAAAGATTACAATTATTACGGACAATTTGAAAATTATCAAGATGGTAGTTATCGGAGTTTTCAGTCATGAAGTGGTAAAAATTTCCGTCAAAGTGAAAGTTATAAGCGAAATGCGTGGTGAGAAAATGGTAATTTTCCTTTTTATAGAGACCCAGAAGCGATAGGTGAAAGTTTAGAACAGGGAAAGATTAGTGAAAAACACAGTCTTAAACAAATAGAACCTAACCATGATTTAAAATGAAAACACGGTCAGTTAACAGATAAATTAAAATCTCTTTTAAGTCGATCCGAAAGCGACTTTGGAGTAAATGGAAAAGAAAAAAAAGAGTTTGAAATAACCCAAGTTAAAAAGGATATTGCCAACATTGAAAGAGAAATTGAAAAGGAAAAGAATAATTCTAATGTTTCCCACCGACCAGATTGAATTAATTGTCCGGTTTGCGACAAAACATTTAACAAAAATACTGATTGTTGAGGAGTTCAAGATAACAGTGGTTTCCAACCAACTTGTTGCCATGGCTGTGCCGAAAACTTCCAAGGTAAAAGGGATGGAGAAATTATTAAATCTGGTTCAGATGAGTATTTCCGAAGAGATCCACAACAAAGAGGTCGAATGGGAAGAAACGAAAAAGGAAGTTTTATAACTGATAAAGAAGAAAATGGCGATACCCACTCTGATTTGCGAAAAGAAAACCGAGATTTACGTCAACAATTATCAGAAGTCCAAAAACAATTAGCCGAAGTTTTAGAGGAGTTGAAAAAGTTAAAGAGTGAGGTAAAAGGTAAGGAAAGCGAAAAGTTGAGTCAGCAAATAGTTCAAAATGAAAGGTTGGTGAAAGAAAACCAAAATATTTCGGTGGCTGAGGTTCAAGAGCAAGTTAATAAATCACAAGCGTTAATGAAAGAGTTTAAAAATGTTTCCTCAACCAAGGATAATAAAGGGGACAGTGTGCTTCCTTATGTAATTGGTGGTTCGGTAATTTTGGCGGTAGCCGGAATTATTGGCTATTTTCGGTTGAAAAAGAATAAGCGAAAATAAAGTTGATTAGTCGCTAATCTAGTGGGGTTAGTTGGTAAATTGGGAGGGGGTTAACTTTCCTCCTCCCTTTAAAATAATATATATAGTAATGATTAGTTAATTATGAATTGATATTAAACTAAGTAAGAAAAGATAATAAAATAATATATATACTTTTGAAAAATAAGTGGTAGTCCTTCGCTACTTAATTTTGAGAGGTATATTTTTTACTCTCTCTTTCTTTGAAAACTGAACGCAAAAAAAAAGATTTTACCGA